ACTCTATCGTTTACCTATAATCACCTTTGTTTCTAAAATACATTTGATCGATAAACCTTCAGAAGCTCTCCATAAATTGCACTGCAAAGTCTTAAAGCTAAATCCTTTGTTAATCTTGCGTTAATACTAATTTTCAGTCATTAGTATCGTAAAATAACAATATAAGATAAATAATAATATAGTTTATTGGTAAAAAGAAAAGTAAGAAATAAAGAATATAAAGAAATAAGATAAAGAAAAAAAAAAGGTTTTCACAAAGATAAAAGAGCATACAGCTATTCAGATGTTTCTAAGAGAATTATTGCACACAGCCGAGTTGAATTTTACTTTTCTACAAGTTCTAAAATCTACTGTATTTATATCTTTTCAATTACATATAACAATAAATAAATATATAAAATAAATAAGTTATATCTATTATACTAATTATGTTAACAATGTTGATAATGTTATTAATGTCAATAATGTTATTAATGTTAATTATATCAACAATGTCAAGAATATCATGTAATACATGTCAATTTGTAGATCAATCTTGCAAATCATTCTGTTGATCAATTCTGCAAATCCCTTTTGTAGATCAATTTTGCAGATCACTTTGTAGATCTGTTTACAATAGAAAGCGTTTAATCATTTTCTTCAATTTGGATTTTTGTAAACCTCTCTTCCTTTCATTCCGTTGAGACAGTTATATCTCTTAAAGGTGTTTTAATAAGTTCATCTTCCTGATATACTATTAGCATTTCTTCAGGTAACTCTAAATCTTCTAGTTCTAATCCAAAATCAGATTCTTCATCAGATTTTTCCTTTAGTTTTATCTTTTTCTCAAATCTGATTCTTTACCAACATGTTATAGATACGTTTTCATAATAGGCTGTTTACTAATAGATTCTCCTATTTGATAGAATAGCTTCTTTTGATAAAAATCTATTTTTGCATTTACTTGTATGATCCATTTATTTCCTAGAATTACTGAGTAGGCTTCAGAATCCATGACCACAGCTTCAATTTTCCAAATTGTTGTGTTTATTTTAATTGGAAGCTGATAGATGACTCTTAGCGGTATTGTAATTTTTCGCTTATTCTAATCAACATTCTATCTGATGATCCATCAATCTCTAGTCCAATCTCATTTAGGAAGCCTTTTGATATTACATTTCTTACTGTGTCTGTATCAATCATTATATTTGTTTTCCTTCCAATCATTTTTGCTTTCATAAACAATGCATATTTGGGTGATTGATTTTGTGTTTCTGCACTAGGTTCTTTTTCCTCTTACAGATTATTCTGTGATACAATTCTTAGACACTTCTTAGTTAATTCTCCAATTGGGTTAGAATTTTATTTGCAAATCTCATGTGCGTTGAAGTTATTTATCCATTTTCTATCAAATTCAAATACCTTTTCTGGTCTATAGATCTCCATGGTCTAGCTTTATCTTCTTCCATCCATATTAGTATTTCTTTCTTCTTTAGCTTGATGATGTATATGTCACAATTATATATAGGATCATTGAATATTTTTCTAATTTTTTTTAACGAAACATCTATTTCTACTTCTTCTGAAGTTTCTCTTAGGCATGCTTATGCTGATCCTTCAAAAGGTTCCACTTTTCCGCATACAGTTTGCCAGAGTTCTGCCATTACTTTATCATTTTCGCTTCTTTTAGATACCCAGATTCTATCTTGACAGTGATATAACACATTAAGAATATATATTAAAGGTTTTGGTTGTTCTGCATTCTCATCTCCTAAAGATGCAGTTGGTTTTTTAAATCCTCGTTGAGTAATTCAAGACAATCTTTTAATGTATTCACTAATTTCTTTTTATTCTTCTTAGTTTTATCTGAATACGTATACATTTTTGACGGTTCTTCATTATTGGATTCTTCCTGTCTCACATTCATTCTATGGGATCTGCTTATTTCAGATACTTTTTCTTTGTTTTTTTTGGAAATCTCTTAGGTTTAGAACATCTTGTGGAAATATGTCCTTCTTCTTCACAGTTGAAACATTTCATAATTTTTTCAGGCTTTTTGCAGTTTCTCACAAGGTGACCAATTTCCTGGCAATTGTAACATCATTTTGTGAGACAATTTCTTACCCAATGACTATGCTTTCCGCATTTTGGACAAGATCCATTTGATATAGCAATTTGGATTCCTTTTTCTTGTTGAAGAATTCTCTTAATAATTTTTTTAATAATTTCTTCTTTATTAGGAAATCCTCTCTCCTTTTTCTTTTCTGAATGGTAACTTGGTTCAATTTTCTTTACGGTTACTTCCATTTTTATGCTTTAGCAATTTCCATTGCCTTAGCTTTTTCAATGGCTTGTCTAATTGTTGAGGACATACTCCCTTGTACAGCTTCAATGTATTCTGGTAAAAATCTCCTTACAAAATCCATGATTTTGTCAGCTTCAGCTTTTCATTTTAGAGGATCTACTTTTCTCTATAATTCTCTTAATTTGGCTGTATATTGAGCAATTGTCTCATTTTTTTATTATTTCAGGTTTCTCAATTCTTGATCTATTGTGTCTTTTGATATGCTACAGTATTTATTTATAAAGAGATTTATAAAAGACTTATTTTCTTTATCTGATCAATTCCAATATTTCACATTTTGTGAATTGAACCAAGTGTGAGCTTCTCCTTTGAGATAGGAATTTACTATTTTTAGCATTCAATTTTCTTTTATGCTATTTGTTATATATACTCCTTCAAATTCTTCTAACCATACTACTGGATCTTGCAATTCTCCTTTGAATGTAAGAAAATCTATAAGTCTGGTTTCTCTATTTGAGGTTCAGCTTTCCTTATTCCTTTCATGCTTTTAGCAAATTCTTTAAAGAATTGTTTCATAAGTACTTTTATATCTACCTCTTCTTCTTCATTCTCTACTTCATCAATTATACTGGCTTTCTTTAAAGTATATGCATGATCACTTCTATTAGCGATATTCAGTTCCTCATGTTGATCTTGTGATATATTTTCTAATTGCAACAGTATGCTAGTTAGGTATTTCAGAGCTTGTTGTGAGCCTAATAATTCTCCTATTCCTGCCGCTTCTTGGTATCCTTCGAGTTCTTCAGATCCTTTGTCTCTTACGAATCCTCCTGTCTTCTCAAACTCAGAGAGTAATCTTTCATATAATCCCTCAAGTTTAATTTCTTTTGTGTAAATTACACTATATATTACTTCTCTTAATTGATTCTTGACTTCTCTTGGGCGGCTATTTGTCATAACTTGTTTTAGAAGCCATACCATTGCTCCTGTATATTGATTAATAGGTACTTGTCCTATGAGCCAAGTAATTGCTCTTTGGGTTTCAGCAGTTTCTTGGTCTTCTTTTATTGGATAGCATTTTTCGCAGCTGTAATCGGTGTTATCTCCTTCACGTAGATGATTTGCTGAATAATGATTTTCTTGTCTTTCCTTGTACGCTTTCTGTTCTTTTCTCCTGTTCTTGTTCTCTCTTCCAGTGAACACAGTCTTTTGCAAGGCACATTCTGTTTTTGTGTCACACTTTTTACACATGAATAAAAAACCTTAAATTTTTATTTCCCATGCATATAAACTTTTTTTTTTTCACAGGTCTTTGAAAAACAGCATGTAAAAGGTCTACTGGTTCTGGAGGAAGGATTGGTTATGTACCTTCCTTTTATTGTCAAAGAGCTTCACCAGATAGAAACTGGTCACCAAACTTCCAGAACGGATAACTGGAATATCAAACGACCAGAAGAGATAGAACTGGGAAACAAACCGCCCAAGAAGGACAAATTGAGGCATGGATGACAGAGAGAATAAATAAAATAAATAAAAATAAAAATAAAAAATTTTAGATAGAAATCCAAAGGGACTCGCTCCCTGCATTGTTGGAATTGTGGGTTTAGATAGACTGGGAACTTTGCTTGGTAAATGAGCTTCATTTTTTTTGGGTTGCTAACGTCCTCGTCGTGCAACCCTGGGCAAACAAGTACTATTATTTGTTCAGTATTCTTGATCTTTGTGAATGGGAATTTTTTTTTCGCGTTTAAAATTCAAGAATATTTTTTTACTTTGAATAAATAGTCCAGATAATGATAATTTAATTAAAATTTGTTATATAATTATTCTATTATATATTTTTTAAAAGTTTATTATAATGATTCATTTTTTTTTAAGTTTGATTTCACCTTCAACATCCCATAAATTCATTTCAACCATTTTAGTAAGAGGATGTTTAAATCCATGAGTAATTTCTAAAATTTTTAATGCTTCTCTTAATAATTCTTCAATTGTTTCAAGTTTTTTAACATCAATTTCATTATCATTAAATGATAAATAAATTCTTGCAGTAGAATAAAGTTGGATACCTAATAATGGATGTAATTTACTATATAGTATTCTATAAGATTCAATTAATTCAAATGAATGAATTAACGCATTCTTCCAATCTCTTAGGTTACAATATATTTCAACCATTGATTTACACGTTCTTATTAAATAATAATTTGCTTTATGTAAAAGCTCATATTGGATGTTGAACGATTGTTCGAAAAAAGTTATTGCTTGACGGTCATCTAAGAATATATACACATATATTTTAATAAAAATGGTCATTTCAATAAGCAAATGGGAGAGAATTTTTTTTTATTACCTCTGTCGCGTAAATTTGTTCCCTTATCATACAATTCTATAGCTATTGATAACTTTTTTTCTACATCAGCTACATCATAATGTAAATTCTTTGAACACATTGAACACGTTGATGAAAATTCTTCGATTCCCAATTCCAATAATTCTAAATAACATAACGTAACATAATTTAATAAAATAACAGGCTATAAAAAAATTTATAGATAATAAAATTACCCGGGGGGTCAATTGCATTCAAACAGTTTGGATTTTGACACCTTAACGCGCTTCTTGGATCTACATGAGATTTTAACTGTAATAGATTATAAATATATTAATCAAAAAAATTAGATATGCATCTATATACGTCTAAATATATTATTTGCCTTATAATATTCACATAATTCACATCGACATAGAAAGAAGTAACGATCTTGTAATTCTTTTCGTCGTTCTTCACCTGATTGACTCAAATCAGTATAATTAATTGTAATCTACAAAATATAATTATACATAAAATTATTCTGATGATTATTACTCGATTTTTCTATAAAATAAAAAGTACCTCTTGACCTATCACAATAGGTTCAATACATCGAACTATCATTTTTGATTTTTCAAAAATGATAATACAATTAGGGCGACAAGAATGATTTATTAAAGATACATTAGGATAGACTGCTACACCATTGGGTATCATTTCTCCATCCAAAATTGAGAAACTATTTTCTGTAAACTAAACAATAAAATCCATATAATCAGTTGTAAAAAAAAAAAATTGAGACTAGAATTAGAATGATAAATACGCGACAAAATAATTCAATCATCTCGGATGCAGATAATAAGGCATCTTTTGGTACGCAATCACGAACCACCATGGAAATTTGAGCAAATGTTTCTATTTGTTCTTTCTTGAATAAATGTTTATCTAAATTAGGTAAAATTTGTCAAGGAAAATATAAATCAAAAAAAATTTTTTTTTTTGACTTCCTTAACAGCAATAATAATCTTGGATACTGCTTTGTAAATTTTCGATCTCTTTGAACTAAAAATATTAAAAAATTGAATAGTAAAAAAGAAATTCATAGCAATATTTATTATCGAAATTTTTACACCATAAACTTTGCCTAGCTATAATTAAAAAGAATTTCCAATACATACAGATGCCGGTTCACTCATACGACGCATCAAGATCCGGCATAGTAAACGAATTGAAGTAGGTGGTTTTCGTTGCACTTTAACAAAAACTTTACACTCGTGCTGATGATTTGACCAATCATTACGTTGGCATTCCTGTACAATTTACGTTAGTTAAATCAGCGCCAGAATTAATTAAATCACGAAAAAATCATTGTAGCATATTTCCAACCTGAGAACAATAATGAACTAATTTACAAGCCGAACAGCATGACAATTTTCCACCTTTCGTAAAACAATTACTACAGGTTGTAAAAAAATTCGAGTCATCTACAACGGCCGCATAGGGTATATCTTCGATAACAAGAGCGCCTGTTAATCATATTAAAGTTGAATAATTATTAGATTGGATATAAACGCTGTAGTGTAATTTAAAATATAGTACCAGGAGAAATATTTTGCAAAGCAAATAACCCTCTTCCCGATTGAACACTTATTCTAATCTCGAGCCTTTTATTTGCACCTTTAATAACTAAATTTTCCAAAGTTTGATCATTAGATAACTTTGGTTCTATGCTGGTTCCTGATTTTGTTCCTTGAGTACGGATTCTTTGATTGACTGGAATATCTTTTGAAATACGTTTCAGAGGTTTACTATATTCTGTTATATCAGACTATATACCAATATAATAAATTAAAATTATTATAGCCTAGAACTGCAAATAATTTGTTCTAAAAGTACACACTTCTTCTGTCTCGTCAAAAAAACTCAGTTTATGAGGGGCAATGCCCAAAGCTAAAGACTGATCTGTACTTCTTTGAGACTGTGTCTCCTCCTCTTCATCACTATTATTAACTATCTTATTCCGGAAAGTTTTGGTTTTATAACTTTTTTGACTCATTTCTAAATTATGTTGATTTCATAATTCCTTGGTCACATTCATGGGCAAAAATCAACGAGAACAGAAATTCGGGTTTTGATAACTTTTCAGCAAAAATGATGTAATTCGATTTTCGGTTGGATAGACATTATTATCCGGTTTTAGTTAATCCAAACATCTAATCATATTTTTTTTTGATATAAAAATGGTGTAAGAAATCAAATGTATCAACAAAAACAGGATGAATTTGTAGTTGTGTTCAATTAATTAAAAGTTCTGGAGAAAAAGAACAATTCCTTAAATGTTTAAAACTTCAGACCATAAAAGTAGAAGTCTAAATCACTATTAAGATTTAATAATGAGCCGTACTGCGCCAATAAACCATCCTATATATTTGGTCAAGACTAATAAAGTAATTGACATGTTAAATGAATGTCATAATCGTCGATCGGTCTCAAAATAAAAGTTTTTGATATCTTTTTCTCATGCCATTTCTCCAAAGTATAGGAAATAGAATTTTATTTAAAAAGCTTTCAATTCCCGCAACCCTGTTGTCTTGTTCTTTTTTATATTCTTGTACATCTTCAATTAATAGTTCTAGTATATCGTTACCTCTTGGATACATAGCAAATTATTCTATTTTAAGCGGTTCAAGAACTTTATTACCATTTAATAAAGTAAACTTTTCTATAGAAAACTCCGGTTTACAATCATTTTCTTCAAAGATGGCTTGGTATTGCTCTGCTAATAGCAATGAAGATCTCGTGAAAAACTTGAAAGCGGCCAAAATTTTTACATCAGAGGCGGTTGAGAGGGCCATGAAAGCTGTTGATAGAAAAAATTATGTATCACAGTGTCCATATAAAGACACTCCTCAGCCATTGGGTTTCGGTGCCACTATTTCTGCACCGTAAGCATAATGTCGATTTAACCTTGATGATTTAGCGTTAAAGATTTGAAACTAATTGTTTCGTAAATTCATTTTATATAAAGTCATATGCATGCTTACGCTCTTCAATATTTGGAACCTTTCCTGAAGCCCGGTATGAAAGGTAAGCAAGCGTATATTACATATAATTGATGCAGATTTGTTTAAAACACGCGTCATTTTTACATATTGTAGTTTTGGACGTCGGATGTGGATCCGGCTATTTAACAGCTTGTTTCTCAGAAATGGTAAATTAAAAAAATTGGTTTAAATCGTTCAAGTTTTATTTTTTATTCATCATTTTTTTTCGAAATCATAAAGGTTGGACCGGAGGGGAAAGTTGTTGGTATTGAACATATTCAGGAACTTGTTGACATGTCGAGAAGGAATATTCAAAAAGATCGACCGGGATTTTTGGAATCTAAAAGAATCGTATTGGTTCATGGAGATGGAAGGAAGGGTTTTCCGGAGGAGTCACCTTATGACTGCATGTACGTTTCTTCATGTACATTAATCTTTATTGCTTTTTTTGTTATTATTTTAATTTGTTTATTCCATAACATTGAACTCTTTACAGCCATGTTGGTGCCGCCGCAGAAAAAGAACCTAAAGCACTGATTGATCAATTGAAAGCACCTGGACGGTAAGTCAAAACGACAGGACATCTAAATATACCTCGTGATATTAAATAAATTATTTTGTTTATATATAAAGGTTGTTCGTTCCAGTGGGAGTTCAATCTCAGTCTATTTATCAGATCGACAAGGACGAAAATGGGAAAATTACACGGAAAGAATTGATGGGAGTCATGGTACTGTATCAAATATGATAAATAATATTAATTACAATTTTTCTAATCGATTAAAAAATTTTATTCTATTTCAGTATGTACCTCTTACTGATGCCGATAAACAAATTTGACTATAATCGGATTAGTTTGCATATATATCATTTTAATTAGCAATTCTGGCTATTCTATAAAATTTATTCCAGATAATAAATAATTCTGTCTTTGTATATAAAGCAATTTATAGATTTGTATTGTTATACTGTATATAATTATATATTTCATTTAAATTATGAATAACGTGATGATGTTGTTCTTGTTGATTTTGTTGAGTAATTTTAATTGTTTCTTTTGACTTTGTATCTTCAGTTCTTTTTAGCCATAATGCATTTATACCAATATTCTTTGCTCCTTGATAATCCCTAAAACCAAATTAAATTAATGAAAAACATATAGAACCGATTATAACCTTAAATGAGGACACCAAATACCAACCTAACTTCATCATCACCAATATGTAATACTTGTTTAACATTCCCTTCTTTAATTCCACCTAATTCTAAGGCTTTCTCAAATATTTTAACATCTGGTTTTTCAACACCGAATATACCACTCAATAAGATGAAATCAAAATACTGATGAATTTTCAATGAAGAAAGTATTCTCTCTTTAAATCAATTAAATTAATAAACATAGTATTATCTTATAATTAAGAATAAATATATTTACCTAATCTTTCATCTAAATTGCTTATGATTCCCAATTTAATTTTTCTGATATTATGTAATTCGTTTAACACATATTCAGTTTCGTCATATAATTCATATGCTTCAGAGGTTGTAAATTTATTATATATATTTGTGGATAATATTGGTAATATAGGTAATAAATCTTATAGAGAATGAAAGATTAGGTTTGAATACTAAAAAAATTATATATGTATATAATTTTTAATGAGTAATAAATACCTTTTTTATCAATTCCAGTTTCAAGAAATGTAGTTTCAATCACCTACAATGTTTATATCAATCCATCTAAAAATAAATATAAATATATAATTCACTTATATTTTCTTTACCTTGGACCACCATTCTTTTGAACTTAATCCATTATCATAGCCATAATTACGATATATTTTATAAACATTTCGAAAAGATTCTCTAAATTTTTTATCTATCATGGTTTCTTCTAATTTAATCCCAAACTTTGCAGCTTCTTTTGCCTAAATCATTTGAGTTTTTATATAAATAAGAACCATTGAATTTCCAATAAAATGAAAATATGTTACATATAAATGTCCTATTTTTCCATTACGTGGTCGAAATAATGTTCCGAATGCGTCGAAGGTTATTAATTTGATTTTCGTAATCATTGCAAATAATTTAAGAATTTGAATCATTCTCTTTTTTTTTTTATAATTTTTTAAAAAATTCAATAGCCAATCAAATCATTTAATTAATTTTTAACTTAAATTTTTATTATTAAACCTATCGATTTTTTTTGATTTTTACTTAAAATTCATTATAAATTTTATTATAAAAATATTAGTTTTAATAAATATTTTATTTAGTTTTTATTAAAACAGAATTTTTGTATTTTTAATAATTTATAATTTTTTATAATTTTTAAATTAAATTTTATATTAAATTTTATACATTTATCTTAGAACTACAAAATTTTCATATAATATTTATTTTATTTTACTTTATATTATTCTTAAATATAAGTTAAAGTTTTTAATCATTA